TTTGGCCTTCACTAGCTCTGTAACTTCTTTAAGCTCCTGTTTCTTCACCGTAAAATGTAGAGCATAATATATGCACATTATGGGATTGATGCAATGACTAAAAGAGACAATACACATAAAATTCTTGACACACAGTAAACACTAAATACTTGTTATATCCTACCCACCCCACTGCACACAGATACGCACTATGTAATGGGATAACAGATGGTTTTATTTATTGCTTTATACTTTTCTCATGTTTTTGAAATCTTTTATAAGACACAGATAGGCACAAGGTATTCACTGAGAGGGCACAGGGTAGTCTCTAAACTGTAAGCTTATATAATGTATATGTCATAAAACCTTTATACATTTCTGTACCACTTAAACAAAATGTTTTTCTTTTAAACTGCATAACACCAGTACACAGTACTGACACATACACCACAGATGCTCCTACTCCTCCTACCAATAAATGTTCAGCATTCAAATACCTTTTAATGTGCTTTGGGGGTAGTTTTAATCTTTCTTCAGGGCTTGAAAAATCAAAGTTACTCAAGAAGTCAGAGAAGGGTGTGTGTGTGTGTGTGTGCATGCGCACACACACGTGCATGTAAGCCATATCCTAATCCCATATGTGGTATGAACCTAAGTTCCAGAGTGGAACTAAAAATCAGTACCAAGCAGTGGAAGAGACAAAACTGTATCCATAATACTGTCAGATAACAAACGAAATCTATACAGCATCTTCCTTAGAAATAAAATTTCAAGTTTCAATTCCATCACAGTCACACAAAATAGAAGCTGCAGTACAAAAAAAAAAAAAAAAAAAAAAATGTATGAGAGAGACTGAAGGGTAAAAAATGACAGGAAAACACAGAGTAGACTTTGACATATCTCTAATTACTGCTTCGTTTCAGACTAATGGTAAAAATTAGTCTTCAGATAGTTGATAACATCAGACTGTCTGTGCTGAGTTAGTACTAAGATCTGTGGCCAAGCAAATACTTCTAATAAAATTGATTTTCCTTTTTGGCAACCAATAGGCCAGTCAATAATAATGTTGTTTGAGAAATATTGAGTCATGAGGGAGACGAACCTTTCCTTCCATTTATTATGTTTGTATTGTCTATATTTGAAAAGAGTTTTCAATAACGAAACCAAAGAAGATATTACAAGGGAAAGAGCTATTCTGAGAGCTAACCTCCAGAAGCCCTCTGACTTCGAAGCATGTTAGCAACTCAAACTGGAAAAGCCAAAAGCATCCCATTAACTAAAGTTAGATTGTATAGATTATGACTGTCAAAAGAGAATCAAAGCTGGCGGCTATACACAATGGTCATGTGAATACAAAGGAAAACATTGTGCCAGGCATATAATACTAACAGATCCGTCCTAAAAACCTACATCGAACTTTTACTTTGCATTAAAGCTTGGTGTTTAGTAAAGAATGTTCTATAAAGCCACTTATAGCTTTTGGATTGTCTGTCTCACACTACCCAAACAAACAGAACATAAGAAATCTGCAAGGCAAAAACCTAAGGCAATGCCTAACTTGGGGAAATTTCCATATACAATATCTCCAAACAATGTGTTTGGTTAAAAAAATTGTTTTGTTGTTTTTTAGAGATAGGGTCTTGTGCTCTGTCACCTAGGATGGAATGCAGTGGTGCAATCATAGTTCACTGTAGCCTCAAACTCCTGGGCTCAAGTGATCCTCCCACCTCAGCCTCCAGAGTAGTTAGGACTACAGGCACCCACCACTACATCCAATTTTTTTAAAAAAATTTTGTGGAGATGGGGTCTCACTATGTTGCCCAGGCTAGTCTCAAACTCCTGGTCTCAAGTGATCCTCCTGACTCAGCCCCCTAAAGTGCTAGGATTACAGGCATGAGCCATCGCATCTGGCCAGTTCTTCTTGTTTGTTGTTTTAACTTAGTGGTAATAGTGGTAGGGAAAGTTGGGCATTGAAAAAATGATTTTGAAATTTACACAGAAAAATAAATAAGCAAAAATAGTAGAAAGTATTTTGAATGAGTAGTGAAAGAATTTGCCCAACCAGATTTAAAAATATATTTTGAAGCTATAATACTTAAAACAGTGTAGCACAAATACATGAACAGAAAACCAGAGCAATGGAATGGAAGAACAAGCCCCCAAGATAGACTGAAATACATTAAAGAATTGAGACTATGATAAGACAGTTCAAATTGCTATAGAAAAGATACCAATGATTCAATAAACATTACTGGAACTTGCTAGTCATTTGGACAAAAATAAAGTTGGCACCATTTGGACAAAAGTAAAATTCCTATTACATACATAGGATACGTATATCAATTCTAGATGAGTTGATAAAAACCATGAAATAATAAAAATACTAGAAGAAAATGTGGGGGAAATTTTTAACAATTATAACACAAAGAAACTGATTTTCCTTACTATATAAAAAGTTCCTGTAAGGAGAAAAATACCATCAACACAATGGGAAACTGAGGAAAAGCTATATTAAAAATATGATATACCATTCATCAAACAGGCAGAGAACAAAAAGTGTTATGATGAACTATTTGGCAGGGCTGGAGAAACAGGAATTCTCTCACACATTGCTGGTCGAAGTATAAATTGTTACAGTTCCTTTATATGGTACTAGTTAACTAAATTATGACACATTCTCCTGGGAACTTGTTGGATGGTGGTGCCAATTACGGTGAGTGGCGGGCAGGGAAGGGTGGGCTGTTGAGGGATGCTGGTGTTTAGTGTTAGATATTGTGCGTTTGAAGTGTCTGAGGGACATCAAAGAAGAGATATGTGTGTCTGGAGCTACTGGTGAGATCTGGGTTGGTCATAAACATTTATTCTACTTTCTCTGTAAAATAGGAGGTATTCTGAAGATAAAGACCAGAAGACTAGGTAGTCAAATTTAATGATGATATTACCATGGTTTATGGTAACAACAGTGTTGTGTGATTTTTTTTATTTTTATTTTTAGCTTTTTCCAGAACCTAAGCGTAAAAAGACAAAGATGCCTATGTTACCACTTCTATTGAACCTAGTACTGGAAGGCCCAGCTGGAGCAATTAGGCAAGGAAATGAAATAAAAGGCACCCAAATCAGTCATTAGGATGTCTATTGTCAAAAACACAGAAAATAACAAGTGTGGGCAAGGATGTGGAGAAAATCGAATGTATTACTATGTATTACTGGTGGAAATGTGAAATGGTGCAGCTACTGTGGGAAATATTATGGCAATTCCTCAAAAAATTAAACGTAGAATTATCATACGATCCAGCAATTCTATTTCTAGGGTATATACTCAAAAGAAGTGAAAGTAGGGACTTGAACAGACATTTGTACATCCATGTTCACAGTATCGTTATTCATAATTGCCAAAAGGTAAAAGCAAACCAACTGCCCATAGATATGGGAATAAACAAAGTACTGTAAATACATACAAATAACATTCGGCTTTAAAAGGGAAGGAAATTTTGACACATGCAACCACATGGATGAACCTTGATCATGTTATGCTGAGTGAAATAAGCCAGTCAAAAAGGGACAAATTTTGTATGATTCCACTTATATGAGGTACCTACAGCAGTCAAATTCACAGAAATAGAAAGTAGAATGGTAGTTGCCAGGGGCTGAGAAAAGGGAGGAATAGGAAATTAGTGTTTAATGGTTAGAGTTTCAGTTGCGGGGGATGAAAAAGTTCTGGAGATGGGTGGTGGCGATGGGCGTACACAATATAAACGTATTTAGTGCCACATTAACTATCCACTTAAAATGGTTAAAATGGTAAATTTTATGAGTATTTTACCACAATAAAAAGGAGAAAGAAAACCAAAATCTTAGGTTCTATGACCTTGGATTTGGCAATGGTTTCTAAAGTATGACACCATAAACAAAAGGAAAAAAGAGAAAACAAATAATAAATTAATTTCATCAAAATTTACAACCTGTGCATCGAAAGGCACTATCAAGAAAATAAAGAGAAAACCCACAAAAAGGGAGAAGATACTTGCAAATCATGTATCTGATAAGGGTCTAGTATCCAGAATATATAAAAAAACTCCTACAACTCAACAACAAAAAGACAAACAAATCACTTTAAAGTGGGCAAAGACTTAGACATTTCTCCAAAAAATATATGCAAATAGTCAACAAGCATGTGAAAAGATACTCCATATCATTAGTCATTAGGGAAATGCAAATCAAAATTATACCATGATGAGACATCATTTCATACCCGCTAAGACAGTTATTTTTTAAAAAGCGAAAATAACAAGTATTGGAGAGGATGTGGTGAAACTGGAAGCATCATACATAGCTGCTGGGCATGAAAAATGGTGTAGCTCCTATGAAAAACAGTTTGTCAGTTGCTCAAAAAGTTAACATCAAATTACTTTATAACCCAGTAATTCCACTCCTATGTCTACAACCAAAAGAACTGACAACAGGTATTCAAACAAAAACACAAGTACACAAATGTTCACAGTAGCATTATTCACAACTGCCAAAGACAGAAACAACCCAAACTGCCCATCAATCCATCAATTGATTAATGGATAAATACGTGGGATATTCAAAAAATACAGCCGTAAAAAGGAATGAGGTATTGTTATATGTCACCATATAACAATATAGATACACCTTTAAAACATTATGCTAAGTAAAAGAAGTCAAACACAACCATAATTGTTATGATTCCATTTATATAAAATATCCAGAATAGGCAAATCTATAGAAACAGAAAGCAGATTAGTGGTTGCCAAGGTCTGGGGCAAAGGGAGAAATAAAAAAAATTTAAAGTGACTGCTTAGTGGGAACAGGGTTTTCTTCTGCAGTGACAACAGTATTACGGAACTATATAATAGCAATGATTACACAACATTGTGAAATGTACTAAACGCCACTGAATTGCACATTTCAAAAGAGTTTATCTGGTAAATTTTATGTTATGTGAATTATACTTCAATTTAAAAAATAAAAGCTCTTCTTTATTTTGTCACTCTTACCTGACAGTTAATGTCAGCTCTATGTTGCAGCAAGACTGTGACTAGTTCCTTATGTCCTCGATCACAGGCCCAGTGAAGTAGAGCCCGACCCTAAAACACAGAATAAGATAAATGAATTTGTTATCTCAGTGGTGGGGCCATGTAAAAGATATAATGTTTTAGGAAAGACAAGGAAATATGTAAAAGTATGGGTTAATTATTCTAAGAATGATTGATATAAAAATGCACCACAGGAAAAGCAATAAACAATCAATGGGGCAGGGCACGGTGGCTCCTGCCTGTAATCCCAGCACTTTGAAAGGCCGAGGCGGGTGGATCACTTGAGGTCAAGAGTTCAAGACCAGCCTGGCCAATATGGTGAAACCCTGTCTCTGCTAAAAATACAAAAATTAGCCAGGCATGGTGATGGGTGCTTGTAATCCTAGCTACCTGGGACACTGAGGCAGGAGAATTGCTTGAACTCGGGAGGCGGAGGTTGCAGTGGGTTAAGATTGTACCACTGCACTCTAGCCTGGGTGACAAAGCAAAACTCCATCTCAAAAACAACAACAACAACGAAAACAATCAATGCGAAGCCCCAATATCTACTTCTGGATCTGTACTAGCCCAATGCCTGCTTTCAGCTCAACCAGTTCACTTACAGAGTGGCGATGATAGTAATAACAACAATAATATCAATAATACCTGCTAAATGAACTATAAGAAAATGCTTTGTAAACTGTACTTTATAAATTCCAGTTTTCTAAAATATTATGTCCAATGAATTCATAAGAATAAAAAAGCAAGAACTTAAACCTAGGTAGAAATCATAATCCAAATGTACTATATCTAAATTTCCTCAAGTTTATTCCTTAAAAAGATTAAACCAGTTTGAAAATAAGCGTTTCTCCTTACTATTGCAAGTTTACACTCTGAAATACCTCAAAAACACTAGTACAATCTATTAGTGTCTATCAAACAGCTGACTGTGAAAGCCACTTGTAAAAGAGAATGGATGATTAACTATTAGGAGACAAATACTAAATACAAAATATTAATTTTAACATTTGTCTACCAAAGACTCACAGTTACTATTACATGTGTTATTTCTATTCTCTACTGCTAAATCTTGTTTTAGTTAATGAAAAAAAGCCTACTTGGTTCAAAAGAATAAACAAAACCCCAAAAGCTAAGGGCTTTTCTGAATAAATGAGTGATGCATGGCTTACTACTTTCTGAGGATGGTGATGATGTTGTCATTTATAAAGAATGGAATGTTTTTCCACATTAAGTTGAAATCCCTACTTTATGTCATTTTAGAAAAGACTTAAATAGATATAAGCTGGGGTGAGGATTGATTTAAAGTAAAAAGCACCTTTCAAGAAGCAGCTTTTCTAAAACTGCCTTCATTCTTTTTATCATCCAGACTCTCTTCACACACCTGTTAGTTCAACTAATTAAACTAGGATCTATTCTTTAAACAAACAACAAAGTAGGAAAATTTCTTCCCTACAAATTGTCTTCTTTTGCTTTCATTTGCTTGATTTACTTTTATTTACCTGTGAATACCTGTTTTCTAACAGGCTTACGCAAAATCCTAAGAGGGAGGAAAGCAGTGAAAAAATGTGGGCAAATCATTCACAATTTACAGTATCAAAACTATTTTATTTTGCCTTGTTCAGAGCCCAGTAGGAGTTATTTTTATTTTATTCTATGTTACTTTGTTTTATTTTATTTATTTTATTTTTGAGATGGAGTTTCACTCTTTTGCCCAGGCTGGAGTGCAGTGGCAGGATCTCCGCTTACTGCAACCTCCGCCTTCCAGTTTCAAGCAATTCACCTGCCTCAGCCTCCCAAATAGATGGGATTACAGGCACCCGCCACCATACCCAGCTAATTTTTGTATTTTTTTTTTTTTTTTTTAGTAGAGACGGGGTTTCACCATGTTGGCCAGGCTGGTCTCGAACTCCTGACCTTGTGATCCGCCCACCTCGGCCTCCCAAAGTGTTGGGATTACAGGCATGAGCCACCACGCCCAGCCAGGAGTTATTTTTTAGTGGAGACAATTCTAAAAGTCCAGGTGAAAATGTATTGTTGAGTACTACAGCAGTTTCCTATGTTAAAATTTTTGTAGCTCTAATGTGATCTGCTGTTACTAGGGCCTTAATTCAGAAATCCTCCATATGAACAATTAGATATTTTAATGAGACTCTGAACAAATACTAATGAATAAAATATTCTACAGGTCCACGTTATTGTTTCACAGCATTTATTAATACATTAAAAGAATCAGACAAAATTTCAAAGTCTATCATTTTTAGTTCTAATTGTAAGTGTGCATTTTATGGCTATTAGCTTAAACTATAGACAAGAGTTACTACATAGTTAAGAGGATGTGTGATATATTTACATAGGGTACTTACAAAAACTACATAATAGTTAAGTAGGACAACATAATATGTCTTGTACTTTTACCATAAGATGTATAGATGATTTATATCTCTCAGCCACGTTCCTGAATTTTCCTTAGGTTTGACCCAATAGGGTTATAGCAACTAAAGCTAAAATATAAATCCTTAGCTGTTTCAATGGTAAAGCTGACAAGTAACACATTTTACTGTTAATGGGTGTTATATTTTAAATTTCCCATATTTTAAATTTTCCATGTGGTGCCAAAAATTTACTTTAGGGGAAACACCTATGACTGGACCTCCGTAGTGATTTTCACTTTGGATATATTTTCCAGAAGCGGGGCACATGTATAGCAATGTTTTAAAAAGGATGATGTGCTCTCAGACATTTACACCATACTTTTTAACACATTTTCTGACCTGCAATGCAATTAATTCTTGTAACACATTATTTTAATGGTACACTAATTAACCTTGAATTAGAATGAATTCTCTGACAATGACTTTCTGTGGAAGCACTGAAGATATCTACATTAAGATCACATAATGATTAATATTCCATGCAGTATTACAAAGCTCAAAAACAAGAGTAGGATTAAACATACTTGTAAACAAACACAGACAAAACAAATCAGGCTTTGGAATTTTAACCTTCAAGATGCTCTATATTTAAATGAACAAAAACCAGCACAATGAGGTGTCTGTGATACCTTTTACTTCTTCAAATTATAAAATTCCTATAAACATACTCTAATTTATTATTCACTCACTAACATAACCAGTAATTTGCAGAGATGCTATCCTTATAATTAATCATGATAAAATCAGGAAATAAACACCTGTGGTTTCTTTCCTTTGTTAACCACAAACGCACCTAGTTCAATACAATTATTAAATTATTTTAGGTAAAGAATTCCATAATCTCTCCTCCAGAAGGAAAACCATGAATTAGGTGTGCATTAAAGGTATATCTTCTAAGACTTTATCTAAATTTATGAAATAGTTTACCTATTTGTCTATATAATTATTTTCTCTTTTTCCATGAGTGATATAATCTCTTATAAATTTTCAAGTTAAATTTATTTTTATTGCTACCACAACAAGTGACAATTCTTTGTTTCTAATTTTAAAAACTCTTCTGGAAAAATATCCCAGAAGCATTCAGGAGATTGGTGAGGGAGAGCCATTATTAAAAGGAACCTTTGTTAGGCCACCAGAAGACCACAAACACTGGAGAGCTCTGAATAAATTCTGGAACTCAAATACAGTAAAATGCAGGGGAAAAAGAATTCTCATCTATTAACCAAGGGTGCTAACACTGTCCTACCTCAGACAGATGAATGACTCTAAAGTGCTTTGAAAGTGCAGGGTAGCAGCTAACCTATTAAGTGGTATTACTTTCATACCTTCTGGAAAATACAGAGAGCACATCTTAATATATGAAATGCTTCTCTGATTTCCTTAGTAACTCATCCTTAAACTAAGTAGATTTTTTTTTTTAATTAGATTTTTCTCCTCAGTATCACAAAATTTTAAAAAAGAGGAGATTCTGGCCAGGCACGGTCGCTCATTTCTGTAATCCCAGCACTTTGGGAAGCCAAGGAGGGCAGATTACCCGCGGTCAGGAGTTTGTGACAAGCCTGGCCAACATGGCAAAATCCTGTCTCTACTATGGTGCGTGTGCCTGTAATCCCAGTTGCTTGGGAGGCTGAGGCAGGAGAAATGCCTGAATCGGGGAGGTGGAGGTTGCAGTGAGATGAGATCATGCCACTGTACTCCAGCCTGGGCAACAGAGCAAAATTCTGTCAAATTAAAAAAAAAAAAGGGGGGGGGGGGGGGGGGTGGGTGAGGGGAGAGGAGGGAAGGAAGCAGATTCTATTATAAAATGAGTCTTGATGTTCTTACGGTATTTTGAGATCAAATTCAAAGTATGTATACCATATATACAATAGATAAAAACATGGCAAAGTTGGTATATTTAAATTTGTAAGAGTTGTCTTTCTGTCATTCTATCAAACACATATGGTATATGGTATGGTACTGTCTAATTAGCAAATGAAATACTGCAAACAGGTGGACGTGAATTTCTCTCTGCAAAAAAATTGGGTATCAATTTATAATTGTAGTAGAGATTGACTTCACCTACCAACAACCTGTAATGTCCCCATCTCCTCCGTACTATCTTCTACCTTTTGCTGCTACTACTGTAGCAGCTGGCCATAGTGAGAACTCCGCTACCTGCAACCACCAGAAATTACACAATGCCTCCTTCTTTCACTTCCCTGTCCATAGTGAAATGACAATGTTGTTTCAAAAACTTACGAATAAGATTGAAAGATAGTCTAACATCTCAAGATATACCTAGCATGGAAGCCAATGACTCCTTCTGGGATAATTTACTTACCAGCATTAAAAAGAAAACCATACACCAGTATGTGTGATATACACTTAAAATCAGTAACTACTGGAGCTCTTTCACTGGCAAAGATCTAGGGTAGGGAAAAATGGTGTTGCTAATTTGTCAGGAAATTGAGAAAGATTTCGAATATACTACTTTAAAAAATCTGGCTGGTGTGGTAGCTCATGCCCTAGTCCCAGCATTTTGGAAGGCCAAAGCAGGCAAGTACAAGACCAGACTGGGGAACACGGTGAAACCCCGTCTCTACAAAAAATACAAAAATTAGCTGGGCATGGTGGCAC